AAAGAAAGAAAGAAAGAAAGAAAGAAAGAAAGAAAAGCAAAAACATATGACACTCGACCATCCATCCATCTTCAGAGATTACTAACTAGACTCACTTACTCAGGATTAAACTCTACTTTTTAGAAGATATTCACAACGAGAAGCAGGAAAAGCCCACTGGAACAACGAACCAATTGAGACCTTAGATTTTTCTCTTCAAATAAGACCCAAAGGTCAACTTCAGATAAGCAAATCTATAGACCCATGATTCATAGCTCCTACTATTAAAATCATCCCCTGGGAAGTGTCTCCATAACGTTAGGATGACTTAACTGCCCTAGTCCAGCTCCAGCGGGGTGGGGCTCCCAAAGGGAGGTGTGGAGTCAGCGAGGGAACAGGATCTGAAGGGGACTCAGGATGGCTGCCACTTTATTGACAAAAAGCCACACATTTGATACTCTACAATTGCACAAAGGATTAAATGAGAGAAAGGGGGCGCATGAGCTGGGGTGGGGCTTGCTGTTAACTTGTGTGGGAGTAGGTGGAGTTATCATGCTATATGGTTCCACGGTGGTGGGGATCTTCCAAAGAATTATTGGATTTAAAGAGGCTGCCTTTGTATACACCCTCATCCTCTACTGAAGCCCACACATGATTTCTCAAAGGAAAAAGGAACTCCCATAACACATAGTGAGAATCATTAAAAACGAAAGTAAAAGGTGCTGGAACTTTGTCAAGCAGCAGTGGTTGCCATGTGGCCCATGCCACTTACCTGTGCCCAACAGACAAAACCTCCATTGGGCCTCTTCTACATTACCACTCAATGGCTAAACAAGTTTGTGCCTTCCAAAATTGTTCCTGACACATCATACCTACACTGGACTTCACTATTTCAATTTTGACTTTGTATCTTTGGTCTTTATCCATGTATGCCTGATGTCTTCCAGATACCAGGCCCTAAACCTTTAAATAATGCTGTCTAGAGTCTTTGGCCACCTCCTTCTACCAAGGGCTGTTGGATCACCTCAAGTTCCTGGCCCTGGACACCACACACCCCATACTTCCTTAGCATGAACCCTGAGGAAGGACCATCCACGCAGCTGAAAGTAGCCAGAGTGATCATTGCCCCATGCCCTAAAGGATTGGTTCCCACCTGGGTTCGATTCCCAGCACCCACGTGGCTGCTTACAACCTATAACTCTTGTCCTGGGGATCTGAAGGCCTCTTCTGACCTCAGTGGGCACCGAGTGTGCATGTGGTACTCAGGCACAGCTGCAGGCTAAACATTTATATATTCATGAAGAAGAAGAGGGGGCGGAGCTCACGAAGAGGGGGAGGAGCTCACCAAGAGGGGGCGGATCTCACCAAGAGGGGGCGGAGCTCACGAAGAGTGGGAGGAGCTCACGAAGAGGGGGAGGGGGAAGAGAAGGGGAACAAAAAAGAACTGGGTCCCAGTTCTTTGAGGAGGGAATATTATGATAAAAACAAAAGTATGAGTTAAAATCTTAGCATTAATGGTTTGTTCCCATACCTCAGCACAAAAGACCAAAAAAAAAAGATAAAATGGTAAGATTTAAAACACTAAAAAAGATAAATAAATAAAAGATCTTGCAGCGAAGTATTAAATAACCAAGCAAGCAAGACAAGAGGAAGATTAGGGCTTCAAAGACCAACAAAACTTTTCCAGGAAACTCTTTTTTTGGGGGGGGGGGGGTTCCAAATTGTATTAAGTCAATCCTCCTGTATTTACACTAATTTTATTCCCAAAAAGTTGTCAAAAATAAAAGAATTGAGAATGTCCTATAACACACACACACAACCTATAAACAATTAAAGAGCCAAGAATAATATAAAATACACTGGTAAACTGTCATATGCTCTTTAAGCCTACTGGGAAGTTGGCTCTTGGAGTACGATAGATACCCTTTCCTCCCCTCCCCTCCCCTCCCCCTGCGCCGCCCCCCCCCTTCCCCCCTACACCATTTCAGACCCAACCATGTTTGTCTCAAAGTGACCTCTAGAACTGGCTGTCCTGGAGCAGGCTGGCCCCAGAACTCTCTAACAGGGAGAAAGAAAAACAACAAACATCTAAGGGTATTTAAAAACAAAAAACAAAAAAAGTTGTGCCCTTGAGAAGAGCCAGAGGGCAAAACGTTTTCAACAGCAGTTACTATTGTTTATCCCACGATATAAAATGCCTGCGGTGGGAACAGGAAGCCGGAAGCTCATCCATGGAAAGAAAGCTCTCCATCAGGAACTCCAGCTGGCTGCCTCAACGTGGCTTCCTCCTTTGCTTTCTGATTTGATGACGTTGCCTCTTTGCTCTTTCAATCAGGCTATTCCAGTCCAGTTGTCTCTGTGGTGCCTGATTTGATGTTGTGCCGCCCAGCTGCTGCCCAGCTGCTGCCCGCCATGTGCCGAGTGCCATTTGTCCCTTTACTTTGATTTGCTACACGCTTCATACGTTGGAGACCGGAAGTGTGGCTGTTGTAGAGAGTCCTCCCCACCGTACGAAATACCATAAGCATGAAGACCTAAGTTCATCCCCAGTGGCAAGCTTGTGACCCCAGCACTGCCGGGAAAGCAGAGGCAGGCAAATCCCTGCAGCTCATTGGCCAGCCCGCCTAACCGGTGAGTCTCAGGTCCTAATGATAGACAGCACATGTCTCAAAAAACAAAGTGGAGCGCTCCTGAGGAATGTCACCTAATCTCATCCTCTGCCCTCCACTTAGGCACACACACACACACACACACACACACACACACACACACACACACACACATCAATTATATCCAGAGAGTGACAAGAATCCAGGTAACATGAACCACTGAAGGTATTTGAACAAAAGGAAAGTATGGAGTCATGAGAAAGAGAGAGAGAATTCTGTCGTCTTTCCCCCCCCCCCCCCACACACACACCCCAGCCTCTCAGGGGTCAGTACATACAAGCTGGAGAATCAGGAGCCAGCTGACAATTGAGTACTGGGCACTGGAATGGATGTATCCGTCCCTAGAGGGATCCAGTGCCAATGACTGACTACCTAAGCAGGTGCTGGCTCCCTTGCACTGGCCAGATTGCAAGCCCTGGCTTCTCTTCCCATTTATTTGGGGATGACATGACTCTACCTTCCCCCAGAAGGATCCCGCTGTGCCCGGAGCCTTGAGCTCAGATGCCTGACTCTGATCTTTAACCTGATGCTATGGCTCCCAGCAGGCATCTCTTCGGGGACCCGAGAGAGAGTAGGAGCCACGCTGGCATTGTAATAGAGCCGGAAGAGTTATGAAACCCAGGAGGTTCGACCGGGCTCCTCGGCAGTAAATACTTGTTATAAAAATAAACCCAGCCTGTGATTCCACAACAATGAGCAATCCCTCAGGGCTGCCAGTGCTGGGAGTAATCATACTTCTCTGGGCACAGGGCTAAGGACACAGGCCAAGCCACAGAGCATGACATGTATTTGGGCTCACGCTCATGATTCCACATCTCACAGAAGACTCAGACCTCCTTCACAGTTTCAAAGGAGGAAAGCTTTTCCCACCTGCAAAGTCCCGAGCTTGAGTTAAATTAAACAATAGTCACCTGTATGGGGAACAGTGCGGTTAGATATATACAGCTGGAGCGACATGGACTCCACATTTAATGGGAATCCACGGAATGGAGTTATGAAGGCAACCGTGTGGTCTTAACTGCACTGAAGGCACTAGAATATTCAGAACAAGGGAGGAGGTTTACTGTTTCAGATCAGAGTAACCTAGGAAATGCATCCAGAGAAAAGACTCAGGATGGCATGAGAACTGAAAACCAGGAAGAGAAGTGAGCAGAATTGAATTCCAAGAGCCTGGGAGAGACCCAGTGGAACAGGACAACCCCTTCATACACCTGACTAACCGTCACGTGTAATGGCGGCCAGCACGCTGAAAGCCAACAGGGTCCTCCTGTCTTGCCTGTGCCTCGGCAAGGAACTACCACTATAAAGGAGGAAATTCTCAAGGTAAAAAGTGGTGTGATTGCATGTCAGTGGAGTTGGACAAAATGCTCTGTGTGAGCAGGAGAGAGACCTGAAGATGCTTTCCAGAGGAGGTCGCACGGCATTGACCTTGAAGGAGAATGGGAACTCTATGGACAGAAGGAGCAAGTCTTACTGATGGTTAGCCAGGCTCATTAACAGCTAGAAGATACACCTCCCTGTGGGTGAGTTTGTTGCCAATCTAATACGCAAACCAAGAATGCCACAGCAGCAAAAGTGAACACTCAGAACCACTGAGCCTCTGTGTGCTTTTATCAGCTCCAGCCACCCTGAGGCCCAGATGTCTTAGCTATCTTCTCCACAGTGGACATGCCCATGGCTGCCTTCAGTCAGAGCATCTATACACGTCCACAGGAGACCCTCATGAGATCTGGCCTGTTATTCCCTCCTGGGATCATGATGAGGCCCTGCAACTCCCGAGGTTATATAAAGGTAAGCAGGGTGTGGGTAGGACCGTGCCATAGCAAGCCCGCTGTAAATTGCCCAAGGGTCTCTTCACTGGAGCAGCTTCTAGGTTTTTCCGAGCTCTGGGTGGGACTCTTCAGTGGTGTGGCTACCTTGAAGTCATTCATGGTCCTGTAAATAGCTCCGATCAACTCCTCAATTCACCAACCTGGGTTTGGGTGAGGTCTGTGGTTTGTTGGTACCCTTTCTATCGGAGGTAAATAGATATTCTAGATATTTATTTACGTCTCCCCAGGGAAAGTCCCTCCACAGTAGGTATGAACATCTGTGGGATGAATGTGTGAATGAAGACATGAAGAGCTCACTGCCCATGCTGCTCCGGTTCTGCCCTCCTTCGCACAGAACGGCATGGCCGCAGGAGGGAGGCAGCGGCAATGGTTTAATGTGGGGGGCCTGCCTAAGCCCCCTGTGGTTTGGAATGCTATTGAACATATGATGCTCATTACGGCTGAGGTCACAGGTGCCCCACAACCCCCGAGAGGCAAGTTAAATTTGCTCTCCTCTGTGGCCACAGGGCCTGAAACCTACCCGAGATGTACCACTGTTCAGAGGAGTCTCTTAATCCCGCTCATTTTTTCTTACATGTTTTGATAAGCCTGCAGGGCAGGCACCCATCTATCTGCCTTCATCCTTGCTTAACCTTCCGCACCTCCAGGTCTGTGGTATAGGAAGAGGTCTCTTTACCTAGAAGGAAAATAAAAAAATAAAAATTACAGAGCTTCTGAGGTTGGGAAGGCAGGACCTCGAATTTCGAACTCACGCGGCCCCACCTCCTTATGCTATGGACTAGAAAATGAAGGGGTGTGTCCTGGCCTCCTGGCTCCTCTTAAGACACTCACTCCCAGGCATCTGGCTGCTTCCTCCTCCAGCAAAGCCACCCCCCCCCCACTCCCCCAACCTCTTACTCCTGGCTGTGTGCCAAGAGCTTCTAAGCCCCGTGACAGCATAGCCCAGGAGCTGGGTGCCCGTGGTTTTCCTTGCGCACAAAAGCATTCGCGAGATCAAAGCATTCACAGTTTGATGATGTTCCTAAAGGCGAATTCAAATTGCTGAGTTAAACAGCCAGCAATTTTTTTTTTTTTTTTTGCAGGGCTTTCCGGAACAATTACTCAAGAAGGAATTCAACTATGTTTGCCTTTGGTTCCTTCTCGTCCTTTTCTACTGCCTGGAGAGGGAGGGAAGGGAGTGGCCCAACAAAGAAAATCTTAAGAGATTATTGCTAATTACAGATTTTTACCTACCCCATGTTCTTTTGCTTCTCGAGTTAATTAAATCAAGACCAGATGTCTGCCAGATGGGTTAGCTGCTGGCTATTGTAAGAGATTAATAGGTCCCAGCAAATGAGGTAGGGATGACGCTGTTGGGTTTTAGGGATCATTGCTGCTGCTGCTGCTGCTCTCAGCAGAAACCGGAAGAAAGGACTCTATTTTGTCAGGATGTTAGCCGGAGCTGAGAGAGCAGGCAGGTTCTGTACCAGCCCCTCCGGCGAGGGCATCAGATCTGAAAGGAGTCAGATCTCCAGTTAAGTTTTTAATAGCAACTGGTTCTAGTTTGGCGATGTGTCACTTAGGACTAGAAGGGTCTGATGGATCCTGGGTGGCAATCGGGGCTCAGTGTCCTCCTGTTCTTCTCCGATTGACTCTGATTGTCCCCGGCACCATGCTCTGACACAGTGCAGAACATCATTTCCAAAGGCCATGGCCCTTCTCCAACCTCCCCCATCCCAGCTCTGCCATGGGTAGAGATGTCCACTCCTGGTCCTTCTAGAGCATCCAGGATCCTGGCTGAGACCAGCAAGGAAGGAGGGGTGGGGGAGGGCAGGCAGAAAGGAACAAAGGTCAGTTATTATTCACAAAGGACCCATTTGTTCTAGCGTGTGAAACTGAACTTCTGCACAGCACTGGGGCATTCACAGACACCCCAAGCTCACACTCGCCAACCAATCAGTTCCCGATGCTCCCTAGAGTCTGTCTTCCATCGTGCCCGAGTCTGAGTCACCAGCGCCAACCAGAGCCTGTCTCTGGGTGAGACGGGTGCTGAGCAGCCAGGAGCTGTTCAAGGCCCCGGAGCTGCCCACACGGTGTTTGGGAAAAAAAGCAGGCACATACTCTCTTTCTTTGTAACTGAAACAGAGCGGCAGAACATGAACACGCATCGGTTGGTGTAACTCGGATTCCTTGCTGAAGAACCTCGGCTCTACCTCCCCTCCCCCACGGTGAATTCAACCAAAGTGTCCTGGCTTTGGCGAGTTGGAAAGAATGACTCAGCTGTATTTGGCAGCTGATGGCATGCCACTCTCTGGGAAACAGAAAAGCACTACAGGTAATAATTTGGTCTGTTCATTAAAAAAAAAAAACAAAAAAAAAACCGTCTGCCTTCTCAAGCCCATTCATTCCCCCATGATCTCTTGGTCCTGTAACTTTTGCTACAATCTGTGGGTCCTTTTCAATGCCCAGGGTTACCTCTTCAGATTGGGTCAGGGAAGGAACCACCTAGAAAGGACAGTGAGGCAGGCAGTGAGGTGCCCAAGGCTCAAAGGCGAACACTCAGGTGCCAGTCGACACCTGCACAATCCTGGCAGCGCACAATTCCCCCACACAATAACCTGGGAGCCCCATTCCTCACCCTGAGACAAAAGGGATTTCTCTCCCCAAAAGAAAGTAATTTGCTTCCTGGGTTCATAAACCAGAGGAACGCCTTTAAAATACACCCACACCAGGGGCTGAGGAGATAAGTCAATTAGTTGATGGTAATCCAACACACATCTGAAAAAAAAAAAAAAATCATCAGGTGGGGTAGCATGCTTGTAATCCCAGGGAAGCAGAGGCAAGAGATTCCAGGGATGCTCTGGGCAGCCAGCATAGCCTAATTGGCGAGCCCCAGGCCCGTGAGAGATCGTCTCTCCAAAACCAAGTGGTGACTTCTGAGGAATAACATTAGAGATTGACCTCCGGCATTCACAGGCACGTGAACTGGTGTGCACATGGGAACACTCATACGCACACACAGAGACATGCGCCCACGAATGCTTCACAAAGAGTGTGGCGCCTGGGTGGGGGAAACTCATCCACAGGTGAGGGTTCTGGGCAGCTATGGTTAGGAATTGCTGGCCTGCGGGAGGCTTGCACGTGGCCACAGTGAGCGGACATCTGGCATGGCCCCTGCAAGATTTCTTCCGGGCCCTACAAGTCCCCGAGGCATGGGATGGCATCTCTACCAAGCAGCCTTAGCCATACTCTCTGCCCTCCCCTACTCCAAGCTCCCCAGCTGGATTTTCAGCTAAATTCCTCAGTAGCTCCTAGGAGCATACAGAGACTGGCCATGCCATGCCACCGACACTCCTAAGCTGGCGTAGGGAATCTCTGAGTGGTCAGACCCCCGAAACTGAACAAGGCACTCGCGGATCCTGAACTGTGGGGCACACCTCCCCCACCAAACTGCAGCCCTGGCTGGGGAGATGAAGGTGTGTGCCCAGCTAAGCTGATGCCCCACCTTTTCCCTCTACCGCTTCTCCTGCGACCAGGAGAAATAAAGCCTGGGGTTTCCCATGCCCTCTTCCTGCCTTGTAGAGATCGCTCGCACAGAAACTGTATCTGCTCCCAGACCTTTTGAAAACCCTGCCTCTTTAGCAGCTGGCTTTTGAGCTTGTCACTTTGGGGACTCACGAAACTCTAATTTGACCGGAAGACCTCAGTGATGGCAACTATGCATCCTTTGCCCAAAGCACTGAACTTCCCCTGCCCACCTCTAAACACACACACACACACACACACACACACACACACACACACACACACACACACTGCTTCTCACCCCACAGAAACAGAACTTAGAGGCGACAAAAACATTTCTGAGGACGTTTTAAACATTATCTCCATTCCGTGCCAAGACTCAGCAGCACTTTACCTGGAGCCTCTGAGTGTACACCCACGTTCTGGGTCTTTCTTCATTCTCACAGCATTTGGAGAGGGCAGTAGAAAGCGGACACTTACGGTCATCTCATATTTGTGTAATGAGATACAGGAGAAGATGGAGTGACTTCTGGGGCCCTTGTGATGCAGAGGAAGCTCAAAGTGGGATACGGGGTTCTAATGCATCTTGAGTTTTTATATATGAACTCGGCTTACTCGGTTTTGAACCTTCCTAGCCTGTCTGTTAGAGTCCATGGAGAAACTGGAACTCTTAAAGCCAGCTATGGGATCTGAGAGCTGTGTGGCCCGGCAGTTCTGGAAGCCAGCGTGCAGGCTGGGCTTAGTCCTGGCTTGCCTGACTCCCGCCATCCTCACTCAAACTAGCTGCCTCTGCAAACCTGGGGAGTGGGACCTTACCTCCTCCTCCCACTCTCTCCCCGACCCTGGTCCACTCCACTGCCCCAACGTCAGGGGCCCAGCAGGGCTTTCTCCCTGCCCACTGGCCCTAGTCTATAGCGGCATCAACACCACCAAGCCTTCAGGGATCCCCAGAGCTGGGCCTGCCCTCCGTAGGAAATTGAGCCCCACTGTGAGTCAGCAGCCGGGATGGGCCTGACGCCCAGAGACTCTTGGCTAGGCCTCTACCAGATGGGGCATTCCCATCGTCCCAGTCCTAAGGGCAACGTCTGCCCCACATCGAGGTAGCAGAGTTCCAGGGTGTCTCCCTACTCCATGGCAGCTCTGAAGTTGTCCCAACAAATGCCCTTGCCTTGGAGGGTTGGCAACGGGCGCACAGCACAGAAGCTTGTTACTGCGAGGAAAGTGGTATTCCGGAAGCCCGAGGGTATGGCGTGTGGGCACCGCCTCTCCTGGCTGTGACCCCTCTGGGTTCCAGAAGGGAGAGCTGAACAGCCTCCAAGAAGCACCCACACGCCCTTGGTGCCCACACTTTTGTGAATCACAGCTACTGTATGGGGTGCTGAGTCACTCTGGGGAGACAATATCGGGCCTATTTTAAAAGGATTTGTCAGGGTACTCAAGCCCTAAATGCTTAGCAATTTAACTACCAAAAATAGGTACTGGTTAGGCCTCAGTGCAGGCCAGGCTGCTCCTTTGCTGGCTGTCATGGTACATGCAGTCCTGAGCTCGCACAGAGGGACCTGGCACACACAGGACAGCGTCAGCCACCACTGCCAGAGTGTGAGCCAAACCTTTGCCTCAAGAAGGGTGGAAGGGGAACTTCAGGCGAGGCCAGGGCTGAGCAACAGACATCGACTCTTGGTGCCGTCTATTCCGACTCACTCACTACTGTTTCCGTTTATGGGGGGAGAAAAACCAGGTGGCCTGGGACTAACCAACTTGAATGTCCAACTTCTCAGCAACCCCAAAACTTGAAGTTTCTCTTTAGTTGAATGGATCCTCCTTCTAACCCTGTATTCATCTGGGACTCAGTGAGCCAGAGACCGACCGGAGCCTCCATGGGCCTTAGAGACCACTATGTCCAACCTATACTGATGATGAGCAAACACACACTCGGAGCAAGGTGGGACTTGCTGAATCCCAGGTTGCCATCCCCAGAGTGAAGGGTGCAGAGAGGGGTGTGGATGAGGCACGGGGCCCCTAACCGGGAAGCCAGCCCGTGCACGGTAAAAGGTGAAGATTGCCATCAGAAGTCAAACGCAAGTTTACAGGAAAGCCAAGGCACAGATCACTCCTGCACAAGGACTCAGGACAGCTGTCAAGGAACAGCGCCGGAATTAGCTCTCCAAAGCTGGGCTGGGTGTGGATCCTCAGGGGGTAGGAGGGAGGGAAGAGGGCGGTGTCCATAAAAGCAGCAGCTAAGTCATCGATGAGAGGCCTGGGGGGTGTCAGCTAGTTGGGCTAGTGCGTGGGGGTGTTGAGACAGAATAATGAGTACAGGGAAAGAAACAGGCAAAAGACCAGATGATGGAAAGTCTGAAATGCCACAGCGAGGAATCGGAACTTGATGGTCATCATTATCATCTAAAAGCACCAGGTGGTGATGGGCCAGATGTTTCACTGAGAAAGATGCTCAATTAGTGCGCGGTCTGCACTTTCTGGGAGCTTGGAGTTCAAGAGAAAGACTAAAATTATGGGCAGATATTAAAGACGTGTATTAAACACACGCATAAATCAAAACCTACTTAACACCCGAGTGTGTGAGTGTGAGCAGAGAGTAAGGGCGCTTAATGGACTCGGGAAGGAAGATGACATTTGGGGAATCACTCCTGGAATGCCCCCCTGCCTTCCCTGCGCCTTGCAGCTCTGAGAAAGGTTCCCGGGAGCCAAGACCTCAGTCTTAATATTAGACCCTGGCTTCGCGTGGCTTTTGTTTCTTAGATGGCTGATTTCTGAGCTGGAGCAGTTCTGGGAGCCTCCCACCCATTCTCCTTTCTGTTAGTCCTCCTCTTGCGTTCAACCCTGAGCCCACTATTTGCAGTTGGAGGGGAAATGGGGGAGTCAGCCGCTGGGCATAGTCATGCAGGTTACCCACCAAAGCGTTGGAGCTGAACTCTAAGCCTTCTGTTGTCAAGCCAAGAAGAGCTGTCTCCGCACACGGGAGGTGCTTTTCCTAACTCACACAGAGGCATCGGATGGCCTTGTGGCCCTAACGGTGGTGTAGCCAAGCAGTGGCTCTTCACCACGCAGTCCAGCTTCCCCCTGCCCTGCCTCCCACCAGGGGACATCGGAAACACTCCAGCCTGGAGTCCCAGGCCACGTGCTGGGAGGCAGTGACTGTGAGCCTCCCAGCTCTCCTCGCTGCATCCCTCACTCGCTGCATCCATTACGCAACATTAGACCAGAGATCTGAGGGAAAGCAGAAGAAAAATATTGCCAAAGGACATCAAAGAGCCACACATACTGGAAACACCCACTGGGTCATGCCCCGGTTTCAGCAAGTTGGACATACTTCTTTCTGTCTTCCCTGGCAGGCACACTGTCCAACACAGCTCGCTCTCCATGCTTCCTTCCATACAGTGTGAGAGTTGGGAGCCCCTGTGGTCAGCAGGAATTCCCTCCCGACCCTGTCAAGATTGACAGGAGCTACCAGCCAGTTCCAGCATTGAAATGACGGCCCAGCAGCCCCCAAGCAGGCCTTTCCAGTGCAGTGGGCCTTGGTTAGGCTGCCACTCGGCTCTTCTTATTCACTGCAGTTGGATATGTGTGATCTCACTGTTGGCTCCGCTTCTGCGCTCTGTCGCTGTGTAGATCTGTAGGTGAGAAGGAGAGAAGAAAAGAACAATGACAGAGAGCTATTTCTCTTACCCCCGCCCCCATCTACCTGCACCAGGAAGTGAATTAAGCCCAGAAGAGGAGCCTCTATTGCTCCCAGCTGGACAGGAGCCAGTGCCCTCCTCTCTCCCCTCTGCTCCTATCCTCGGGTTCTGACTCCTGGACCAGCTTCTTTATTATGGTCTAGCAAGGGTCTTCTGAATGATGTTTCTTGAGCATGGCTCCGGAATTCCCTCCTCGAAGACCACCACTTAGATTATGTTCATCTAGGTACCTAGTGCTAAATACCCCGCCTGGATCAGTAGCAGGGCCTCTGGTTCTGTGCATTGTCTTGAACCCTATCTCTGTTGCCTGATTGCTGGCTTCATCAGTGTCCCAGGTAAGTTCCTAGGCTCCGCTTTGATCAGGTAAGATGGAAGCACAAAAATAATGAGCCTTGCTTCTCTGGCATGTCTTCCAACCGCTCACTTTGTCTAATGGATTCTTTGTATTCAGAGGGCAGGGCATACCTCTTTCCATATCTGGATCTGGTATCACAGAGCCCAGGTTAGGGCCCTCAGCAAGGTGGAGGCTTCGGAATGAATGATAAGTGAATGAATGAGTGATAGTAGACTTGGACTGTTACAGACGAAAGGAGAACAATGGGACAGCTGGAGGGGATGAGAGGATTCCTGGGGGGTGGGAGTGGGCCGCTCACCTTTTCCTGGCTCTTGTGCTCAGATACCTACCTTGTAAGAAATGGTCGGGTCTCCTTGCAGGCTCTGTATTTCTGTCCTCCGCGCTAAGCCCTCTGCGTCCTCTGTTGCTGCCCCTCCACAAAGTACGGTGTCCCTAAGAGCATCCGAACCACAGAGGGCAGGACTTGAGACAAGATGCTGGCGGAAGGGAGCAGGAGCAGACAAAGCCTCGAAGGCTTAATTAAGAGAATTCAACCTGGGTGCACAGTCGGTAGACATGTAAAAGGGCCGCAGTGTCACGCATGAAACACAGTCCCTGGGCGGGGGGCGGGGGGGAGGGGGGCAGGCAAGGGGACTGAGCTCGGTTCTGGACGTTTTTGAAGTGTCAGCTGAACAACCCTGGCAATCGAACACCCGACTATTGACACCAAGGACCGAGGGAGGCAGCAGAAACTGCAGGGATGGGCACACACCCACAGCGGGACATTCTCCCCAGGACCAGTGACTGCACCTGTGGGCTGTGCCTGCCAGAACAGAGAACTCAGTTCCTCCTGCCTCAGAGCTGCTGGGAGGGGGACAGGGCCTCGGACACGCGTAGAGCCCTATGCCCTACACAAGCCACACATTCAGAACCTGCTGAGCATCCAGACCAGCACATGGGAACTTCCTGCAGTGATGAAAAGATCCCCTACATAAGGTAGTACCGTGGCCACCCACGTGCTTTTGGAACAGTAGACACACAGCGGGTACAGCTAGGCACCTTGATACTTCCCTTTTATAAATTTATGTAAGCATAAATGTAAATTGCCACAGAAGTCCAATAGCCATTCTACTGGAAAAGCAGATCTCTTTCAGCCTCACACACGTGAGGAAACCATCAAAGTGATTTCTCTCAACAAAATCGTCTCCTCTAAGATATGAACTAGTATACAAAAGTTCTGTTTCCATGTGACTGTATAACTGAGACCATGTGTGTTTAATAGAAATCGGACATAGTTAGAATTTAAGACGAGATGTCATATATGAAGTAGAGAGAGCAGACTCTAAAATGGTACCCTGGAATTTGCCTCCTGATATCTACACCTTCATCTAACCACCTCCTACATGGTGTTCAGGTTGAGTGGCGTGGCCAACAGAATCCATCAAAGAGGTGGGATGTCACTTTCAAAGCTAGGTCTTAGGTGACAAGAAAGATCTTTCCAAGAATAGAGGGTTTTGATAAACATTCATTCTAGTTTTCTTTGATGTTTGGTTTTGTTTACTTGTTTTATTTTTTGTTTATTTGTTTATTGCTATTGTTGTCCCAGATGGGGGTCTCACTCTGTGACCCAGGCTGGCATGGAATTCACCATATATCCCCAGGTTGGCGTCCAAATGGCGGAAACCCTGCCTTCCAAGGTCAGGGATTACAAGTGAGAGCCACCGTTTCCCGTATCCTCGTTAGCTCCAGTTACCAACTTGCCAGAGCCTGCAATCATCTGGGCAAGTCTCAGATTAGGCTATGACCATGTTTATGAGAGATTGTCTTGACTGATAATTGCTGTGGTGGAAACCAGCCCACTGTGGGTAGCACCATCCCTAGGCAGGTGGCCTGGACTGAGCATGGGTCAGAGAGCAAGTCAGAGAGCAAGCCAGTAAGAGGCATTCCTCCATGGTTTCTGCTTCCCTCCCTGCCCTGACTTCTCTCCACAATGGACTGTGCCCTGCAAGCGTACTATAGACCAACCCTTTCCTGCCCTACATTGATTTTGGTGAGAAGGTCTTATGAACCGCAGCATAAGGAAAACTAGAACATCCAGCCTACATTGATTTTCAGTGTTAGGACCTATTTGATTATTCTTTAGGAATTCCAATGCTTATTAATATTAATAATGATTGAATAGATAACTTTGACCATGCGCTTATCTTATGCCTATCTATTGCTGCACAAACAAGAGTTTAAAACGTGTGTGCATTATGTCACATCGTTTCTGAAGGCTGGGAACTGAGGAGTGATTAGGCTGGTAAGTCTGGGTTAGGCCAGGGCCTGGGGCTGCAGGCTTCTTTGACTGTGGCTATAGTATCCATTCTAAAATGGCCGTTGTGGAGGAGAGGCTCAGATTCTTCTCAAATAAACCTCCAAAGGGCTGTTCACAGCCTGGCAATGTCTTCCCCACAAAGAGACAGCAACCGAGCAGGTAGCCTCCATACTTTCCTAAGATCTAGCTTTGAAAGCGACATCCCACCTCTTTGCCGGATTCTGTTGGCCACGCCACTCAACCTGAACGCCATGTAGGAGGAGGTTAGTGTAGGAAAGTGTAGATGTCGGGAGGCAAATTCCAGGGCGCCATTTTAGAGTCTGCTCTCTCTACTTTGTATATACGCCATCTCATCCCATCCTCACAAAACCAGCAAAGAACGGCTAATATTATCCCCTTTTCCTGGGGCAACTAAGGCTCAGAGAGGGTGTGTGCTTCCAGGGAAACACATAACCCCCACCTTCCCACCCACCCCCACCCCCGATTCCAGGCTGGAGGTTTTCTTTGTTTCTG